AGGACAATTGTTTTATCTGATGTTTTATTAATCCCTAAGCATTTTATTTACATTTTAGGTGCAAAAATCGTGAACTTTATCCATCTGATCTGTTGCTTTGTAACTTTGCACACCTTTTTCATGCTCAAACAGCAGCGTCGCACACTAAAGAAAGCTGAAGGCGTGAAAAACCCACACAAAAGGAGCTCTTCTAAAGCTTGATCTTTTACTCTGTTGAATAGTCGAGTGTCGATGTGTAGCCCTGACCCAGAAAACAAACATCACGTTTCTTCATGTCCTCCTGAAAGCTCCTCTTCCTCTTGTCAGGTGCTTCTCAAACATGTGCACCGAAGACCCAATTATGTGTTTTCAGCCTCTGAGGACTGAAAGACAGACGCAGAAGGAAGATTTATGGATCATTTCTGTCTGAAAGGACTTGAGAAAATGAGCCCACAGTAATGGAGGATGGATGTAGGGGTGTCACGATTTCGATTGTTAATCGAAATCGATCGATATTTATGCCCAATTTCGATTATCGAATCAAACAATAGAGTCGTCGATGCTGCCACGCCCCCATATCACTTCAGCTTGGCTTGCCAAGCGGGAAAAAACAGGCTTGTTGAAGTGCTTGTTAAACTGCAGACGCAGGAGACCCGTCGACAGAGCTTAATCCCTCTCCTCTTTCAATGAAGTCGCCGGTGTGGAAGCATTTTGGATTTCCAGTGAGTTATGTTGACAACGTTCATGTTGTCAACAAAAAAAAACACAGTTTTGCAAGCTCTGCTATGTACGTATTACGTACGGTTCGTCCAATAGACAACACCGGCCTCGCGATCCTCCACCCGCCCCCGTTGCAAATCCGCTCGCGATAAGTACACACTCAGGCCCTGTTTACACTGTCTTTGTTTTTAAATGGCATTTTAGAACGACAACGATTTGACATCCACAGTGGCGTGTAGCGTTTCTGAGCAGCCCTCCTTCCTCTCTACCTCTGAAAATGCACATCACGTGACCACACAGACACAGACGCACACACAGCCATGCGCTCGAGACAGCAGGTCCAGGCAGTCAGAGGATCAGTAGACTGCTTCAATCTTTCACTCACTTGTACTTTGTCATTTTAGCGAACACCTCAGATACTGTTGGCTGGTTTCTGTTGGTTGTGCGTCTTTTTTACCGACGCCATTATAACGACACAGATCACTGCCTATTCACGAGTCCCGCAGAAACAGTGATTGACAGGTGGTGATTATGTGTGTGTCTTGCCTTTATTCATTTACTGTATGATTTGTTTATGGGTAAAACAAAGACCATGCAGGTCAGGTAGTTTAAACGGTAGGCTACAAATAATTAATTGGTCATTAATTAATTAATTATTCATAATCGAAAATCGAATCGTGCCTTTAGAATCGAAAATGTAATCGAATCAAGAATTTGGAGGATCGTGACACCCTTAGTTCAAAGTGTGTCTCTTAAAGGGCTAGAAATGAACTTGATTTTGGCTATTTACTCTTCTTTGAGTGCTTAAAAACCTTTGAGTTTCTTTCTTCTAAATATTTCCCAAATGATGTTGAACAGATTCAGGAATTGTTCTCAGTATTTCCTCTAATATTTGTTCTTCTGGAGAAAGTCTTATTTGTTTTATTTGGGCTAGAATAAAAGCAATTCTTAATAGTTTTAAACACATTTTATGGTCAATATTATTCGCCCCTTCAGCAATATTAGTGTTGGATTGTCTCCAGAACAAACCACTGTTATACAATGACTTGCCTAATTACCCTAACTTTACCCTAATTACCCTAGTGAAGCCTTTACATGTCACTTTAAGCTGAACACTAGTCTAATATCCAGTCTAATATTGTGTGCTGTCATCATGTCAAATATTAAATTAGTTATTAGATGAGTTATTAAATATGATTAGAAAACTCTTTATTAGCTTTTTATGTCTATGATAATTAAATTGTTCTTGACCCTGAATTAAAATGATAATTATGATTGGTTCCCCCCAAATAAGCATCAGTAAATCCCACTCGCAGCCTCTTCAGCATCATAAACGAGGACTTAATCTCATATAATCTGGTAGATCCGTCTGCAGGCTCTGCAATAATAACTTTTAAGTCTCTCTCAGGAAATTTCCATTGACTCTTGATTTGGGTCAGAGGAGTTTTCGGAGCAGTATCAGCTTCGCATTCAGTCAATCTGTCTGACAAACACAGCCGTGAGTCAAGCGCTCCAGCAGCCTGTTCTCCATCTGTGCCTTCACACCCGCCAAAGGAAAACCTCCATTCACACACTCCTCTGATCAGCGCAGAAAGACAAATAAGATTAAAGGCTCTCTTTTTAACCCACTTTCACATCAGGCCTATCATTGTTTCGCTCTGGGTCATTCATGATTTCATTTAAATTTTTTCAATAAATATTTATTAATATTATTATTTTTGCACAGCTCTCTGGAATGATTGTTTCTGATTAGTCAAAGGAATTTTTTTTACAGTATTTTCTATAATATTTTTTCTTCTTATTTGTTTTATTTGGGCTAGAATAAAAGCAGTTCATAATTTTTTTAAAGCCATTTTAAGGTCAATATTATTCGCCCCTTCAGCAATATTAGTGTTGGACTGTCTCCAGAATAAACCACTGTTATACAATGACTTGCCTAATTACCCCAACTTTACCCTAATTACCCTAGTGAAGCCTTTAAATGTCACTTTAAGCTGAACACTAGTCAAATATCTAGTCTAATATTATGTGCCGTCATCATGGTGAAAATAAAAGTTATTAGAAATGAGTTTTTAAAACCATAATGTTTAAAAAATTATGTTGGAAAAATAAATTATGAACTCATTTCAAATAAATTATGAAAAAAATATTCAGAGATGATTGCTTGGATTTACTTTTTTCGTTAAGTGGCTGTAAACAGCTTATTTGGGCTGAATTTAAACAAACATTAAGCTGAATTTTATTAAATTTAATTTGTTTAAATTCAACACAAATAAATTGTTTGCAACAGTTTTGCAGACATCATTTTTTTCCAGTGTGTTGGATTCCACATAATTTCTTCATGTTGTCCCAACTCAAATCGATTACGTTGATTTAATTGGAATGATTGTTTCTGGTTAGTCAATATATTACAAGGTATGTTATTCCAAGATAACAATTTATTAAACCTGATTGCTGAGATGTACCGAATTTTATTTTCGTCACGTTAAGTTTGCATTCAAAGCTTCTATTTAGATTATAGAATGACTGTTGTCATATTTTATGAAGTCAATACCCTTTACATTTGCATTTTTGTATGCATTTTTGACCATTGCAGCCATTTAAGGGAGAAATACTCATTTTAATTACATTTAATAGTGGCTTTCATCTACCTATTTTTTTATGGCCATTTTGAAATATTGCATAAAATATGCTTAATGGAAACACCAAGACAAATAAAAATATATGTGCATAATTAACTCTTCGAATAGAAAAGATGTGCATAAATTAAGATGGAAATGCATTTAGTTGATAAATCCCAGCGTCAGTGATGTCATTTTTCACCATTTTCAGGGACTTTGCAGCATTTGAAGAGATGTGAAATGTTGTTGTGCTGATTGTAAAAGGCCCCAGCCATCAGTCTGTCACCACAGTGCAGTCTATTGTTCTATTAATAATCCCTCCAGAACTGTCTTGAGCATGTCTGCGCTCCCGTCTCATGCCTCCAAAAGCCCCCACACTTTTGTCTAATTGTTTAGTTTTATGGCTTGTATTAGTGTAATAATCAGAATATTGTACATCCAGATGGTTGTTATTACAAAAAAAAAACACCCTTCAGTCTTAAAAACCAGCTCCTGATCAGGCTTTATTTCCTGAAAAACAATCGGCTGGATGTACATTATCCCTTACTTTGGATTCCACAAGCAAACAAGCACTGATTTTATTTTAACTCTGTAAAAATGCCACACAATCGATTTGTGTTGGGACAACGTGAAGGAGTTAGATTTGATTATTCGCAGATTTAAGTGCAACATGGTGTCAGATTGATTTTGTACCCCAACTTCGGGGGACGTTGTGTTGTTTTTTTTTGGAAATGAAAATCGGAATGACGTCAGAAATCAATGTCCAATAACGTCTAATGATGTTGCAGCTTGCGTTGTGTGGACGTTTCCACTGTGACGTCTGTCAGATATTAGATTTTGGTTGCCATACCTGACAAATAAACGTCAGTATTTGACGTCAATATGACGTTGGTTTAAGATGTCGGCTCCACGTTGGATTTTGGTCACTTTCTAACACAACCTAAAATCCACCAAACATCAGCGTCATGTCAACGTCGTTATTAAAACATTGTAATTAGATGCTGACGACCTAAATCCAACCCAATATCAGGGTTCAACGCTAAGGATTTTTTTCAACTGGCCCGATTGGACCAGTGATTCAGATTTTTACTTGCCCTACCAAAATTTTCACTGGCCCCGCTAAAAAAAAAAAAGAAAAAAAAAGTTAATTGCTATTTATTAGCCACATATATTAAATAATGTGTCACGAAATAATATATGTGAATGCAGAATTTAAATGTTTGGAAAATGTTAAAATATTTAGCAGTAAAACATAGCAGTATGGAAAATGCGCAGGTATTTTATTCCAAAACAAAAGGTGGCTGACTTAAAAGTGATGGCAAACTATGGAAAACATCACTTAATTTACTTAATGTACTCATTTAAATGAAACAGACGTTTTCTTTTAGCCTCATAGTTTGATGTTACGGTTATGTTGCCGTCTATTTAAATTTAGTGACAAGGCAGCACTAGCCTGATCGGGCCAGCAACGATTCTGTCTACTGTCGCGAGCATCTCTCACGCTGGCCCTGGGCCATCGGGCAGTCCTTATTGTTGAGCCCTAAATATTAACATCTTATGACATTATGTGTCTGCTGGGTAACCACAGAGCCACAGTACCGCCTGTGCTGTTTCAGCTCACTTCAAATAAGTAGCTTGAGTAAATCTGCATCTGTAATGTTCTTGTTTTGTGTTTTTCAG